TGAGGGCTAAATTCATGCTGTTAGCTCTAAAAGAAAATCATTCCAAAACATAATTGTAACTATAGTAAACATTATTAGTGAGATGTGAAAATTCAGAAATGACCTTCCTTGTCAACTTACATCCAAACAGTTCATTTGTAAATTGTTAGTTCCAGTTTAAAAAAAAAAGACAAAATGTAACTGGATGGTCAAGAGATTTATGGGGGCGATTGCCCAGAGGGACTGCTGACAGCCGTGCAGGTCTGACCTCTGTGGAAGAGAGAGGGGAGCAAGGAGGCAGAGGAGGAAGATTCAGACTTCAGCGTAGTTTGAAGAAAGTTTTTTTTTTTTTTTTTTCTGCGGTTCGCGGGCCTCTCACCGTTGTGGCCCCTCCCGTTGCGGAGCACAGGCTCCGGACGCGCAGGCTCAGCGGCCATGGCTCACGGGCCCAGCTACTCCGCCACATGTGGGATCTTCCCGGACCGGGGCACGAACCCATGTCCCCTGCACCGACAGGCGGACTCTCAACCACTGCTCCACCAGGGAAGCCCTGAAGAAAGTTTTGACCAGACTGATGAAAAGTCCTCCAGCCAAAGTCACTCGTCAGAGAAACCCCTACTGTCCCAGGAACAGGCTTGTCTTAGTATCATGTGCTCAGTTACTGGCTGGGAGCAGTCCATGGGAAGCATGGCATCAGCAAGAAAACAGTGCTGGGTTCAGAACACTGAGCTGGAGTTGCCCATCAATTACACTCCCTGCAGTAGGAGATCTGAAAGGCCCGTTCTCGTGGCTGTCAGGCAAATCCAATATTCATAAACCATTTCACTGATTATATGATACAGTGGTATGGTACAGGTCTTTAACAACACGAACTCAAAATTCCAAAATAGCAAATGGTTTAAAATTTTCATATTCTCAGCACAATACGTATAATCTAGACTTGTAAATTAAAATAGGTACCAGACTGCAATTATTTTTAATAACTGTCCTCCTTGATAATGAATTTAAATATTAATGACAATTGTTCCTTTTTATTTCTCTTCCTGACGATGGTCCCTAAAGTTTCTTAAGTATTATTAAAAAAAAAAAAGTCACAGACAAAAAATTCAAAATGACCTGCTAGTTTTAATCTTTTCCAA